ACACACACACACACACACACACACACACACACACACACACACCCTTCCCAGTACTTCATTGGCTGTGAAAGGGGCTTCAGGCTGAAGTTTGAGCGCTGCAGGCACCCCTCCCTGGGGCAGCCACACAGAATACAATGGAGTTCTTAGGTATTGGAAAAGTGGGTCATGGCCTACATAGGAGACACTGGGTGCTAGCCAGACTGGTTTTAGCATGGTGCTCTGTTGCTGTGGGACCTCTAGTTAGCGTCTTTATCTTTCTGAGCCTCAGTTTCTTTAATCACAAGATGAAGATAACAATAATGCCAACATCATGGGGGTTGTAGGAAGGCTTCAGTGAGAGCTGTCTGTCATTTATCTTATTAGCGCTTGGCGCCTAGGGTGAAATCAGGGGACACAGACAACACCCGGTGCACTAGCCGGGAAAGCAGAGGCACCAACAAGAACTGAGACTAAGGATGTATGTGGAGGTGCAAACACAGGGAGGTGAGATGGAGGAAGCCCAGTGGAGGCAAAAATGGTGATGGCTGGGCCATGAGTACTGACACCAGTTCCCACTGCAGAAGGTGCCAAAAAGAGCCGGTAGCTGTGGGACTTCTGCTCTAGGGTTGAAAGAGGAACTGTGCTTTAGAGCATGCTGGGAAATATTTACTTATGCAGCTTGCTCTTGTCTCCTGTTTCCAGTTGGTAAAGACTTACCCATGAGTCACTAATTCTCCTGAGTGTGCATGCCATGTTACCTGGGAAGCCAGGCACCATGCCTTTCCTTGTGGTGTTTTCTCCATGTCCCAGAATAAAGAGGTGTCCCAAAATATGTGTGTGCCACAGCCAAGAAAGAGGAAGAGACTGTCCAGGAGCATCAGAGGAGAAAGGGACAGATAAGATCATCCCAGTAGACTTTTGTGGGTTGCTAGGCAACAGGCCAGCTGGGAGGCAATGCAACAGGGTTTCTCATGGGGTTGGGGTCAGCAGCAGCTGTGACTTACAAGCCAACGGGCACCCCAGTTGCACAACTGGCCCTCCCAGCACGTAGTCTTGGGCTCCTCATATTTAAGGTGATAGGGCTAGCACACACAAAATAAAAATCACTTTTCTTTTTTGCAGTGATAACCCCGACCCCTAGGGCCTTGCACATGAAATATTCTGCCGTTGAGCCACACCCCAGCCCTCTTAAACACTATTTGAGTGGGAAAATGTTTTTCTTGAGAGAGTTTCTCTGTGTAGCTTTGGAGGCTGTCCTGTCACTCTCTCTCTCTGTAGACCAGGCTGGCCTCAATAGAGATCTCATAGAGATCCACCTGCCTCTGCCTCCCGAGTCCTGGGATTAAAGGCGTGCACCTCCACCACCCAACGGGACTTTGGAGCTTTGGGCTAGAAAAGCCACTAAGCACTAAGTGTTCAAAGCTTGGTGAGCTTTTCTGTGGGATCTTGGAAAATAAGAATGTTGAGAGCCATGCAGACAATGGAGGCTGGCCTTGTGAAGTTCCAGAAAGTTCCTTAAAGACTCTATCAGAGCCATTTGCTATTTTGAGTTGAGGATCCGTGGTTCTGGTCAGCTGGGGTAAAGAGTGATTGACAAGCGACCAGAACCACTGAAGTAAAACCTTTGCTTTTCTGGAACAACTGACGATGCTTAGCTGGAGCTGAAACATTAGCGGTGAGTAAGAAGACACCAGCATCACTGAGGTGAAATCTCCTGGGAAGTGTTTCCTCAGAGACAACATGCAGAAGCTGTGTTCTAGAGGCATCCAGGGTTGTACCTCCACTTGGCAGCTGAACTTGGTAGTGTAAAGGCCACCCAGGTGATACTGGTTTTGAAGCTATGAAGCAGTGATGGAGAATAGTTGAGACTTTGCACTGTGAGAGGTCAGGAATGTCATGGGAAAAGGTGGAACCTCAGTAGCAGTTGAAGGCCCAGCATTAAAAGGGTCATGCTGAGAGGCTGAGATCTGGCACCATGAAGAGAGCCCAGGAAAGGCTATTGGTAAAAGTGCAGCCCAATTGTAGCAGAGACCCCAGCATTTTGGAGGTGATTTGAGACAATTTGACCAAGAACAGCAGCCACAGTGGAGTGGAGCCAGATGGAGCCTGGAAGACAAGTCATGTGTGTTGTAGAGGGCAGGTCCAGAGAAGAGACCCTTGGAGGAGCTCAGAAGATCTGAATGAATCCCCAGGTATTGGACCTTGAGTTATTTACAGTGTTAAGAGTTTGGTTTTGTTCTGATTGTGACTGTGCCCTGGTTCTTCCCTCTTGAAGTAAGAAAGTATTTAACTTACTTTTGACCTTATGGGAACCCACAGTTGAGAGACTTCAAACTTTTAGAAAAGATTTTGGATTTAAAAGATACTTAGGATTTTTAAAGAGACTAAAATTTTAAGTGTGAATTTTTAAAGACTGTGGGACTTCTTAAGTTTGTAAAATATTTTTATTGTAATGTTGATATTAATATGTGATCTTGGGGTGAGCAAGAAAGGAAAGATTGTGGCTCAACGGTGAAGTATTTGTGTGTCAAGCTGACAAGAAGTTGGATGATTGTGCTGGCTAGTTTGATGTCAACTTGGCACAAGCTAGAGTCACCTGAGAGAAGGAAACTTTAATTGAGAGAATACCTTCATAAGATCTGGCTGCAGGCAACCCTTATGGCATTTTTTAAATTAGTATTTGTGGGGGATGGCCTAGTCTGTTGTGAGTGGGGCCACCCTGGGCTGTTGGTCCTGCGTTATGTAAAAGATCAGGCTGTGCAAGCTAAGGGAACAAGCCAGTAGGCAGCAATCCTCCATGACCTCTGCATCAGCTCCTGCTCCAGGTTCCTGCCCTGACTTCCTTCAATGGTGAACTGTGATGTGGAAGCAGAAGTCAAATAAACCATTTCCTCCTGCGGCTGCTAAGGTCATGGTGCCTCATCACAGCGGTAAACCTAAGACAATCACCATGACCAAGACAACTTACAGGAGGAAGGGTTTATTTGGCTTACAGTTTTAGAGGGACTGTCATAGTTCAGAAGCATGGCAGCAAGCAGTAGACATGGTAGTTGGGACAAGGGGCTGAGGGCTCACTTCCAGGACCACTACAAACAGAGAACAGAGAACGAATTGGGAATGACAAGTGGTTTTCAAAACCTCAAATCTCAGACCCAAGTGGCATACTTCCTTCAACAAGGCCACATGTTCTAAACCTACCCAAACAATGCTACCAATTTGGAAGCAAGTATTCAAACATTTAAGCTTATAGAGGACATTCAAGCCACCACAGCAAGCTTGGCAGCAAGTGCCTTTACCTGTAATGCCATCTTACTAGTCCTACATTTGATCCCCCCACCCCCCCCCCCCCCGCCACCTCCACACTAAAGATTTATTTTTAATTATGTGTATGTGGGGGCAGGGCTGTGCACATGAGTGCAAGTGCCTATGGAGGCCAGAAGAGGGCACTACATGCTTGCAGCTGGAGCTATGGCTGTGAAAAGCATGGTCTTTATTTTTATTTTTTCCAATTCTTAATTACTACTCATATTTACATATCCATCCCCCCATTTCCTTGCCCTCCCATCCTCTCATGTTCCCCCCAACCCACTCCCAACTCCTCCCAGGGATAGTGAGGCCCTCCATGAGGGACCTTCAAAGTCCATCCTATCATTTGGGGTAGGGCCTAGGCTCTCCTTGCTGTATCTGGGCTCCAATTCCCTTCATAGGGAATGGGCTCCCAAAGTCCATTTGTGCTCTAGGGATAATGGGTGATGTTTCTCAGACTTCATTCCCAGCGCATTTATCATCTGTATATAGTAGGACTACTGATTTTTTTGAGTTAATCTTGTATCCTGCCACTTTGCTGAAGATATTTATTAGCTGTAGGAGTTCCCTGGTAGAGTTTCTCGGGTCACTTATGTAAACCATCGTATCATCTGCAAATAGTGAAAGTTTGAGTTCTTCCTTTCCAATTTGTATCCCCTTGATCTCTTTGTATTGTCTTATTGCTCTAGCTAGAACTTCAAGTACAATATTGAAGAGATATGGAGAGAGTGGGCAGCCTTGTCTTGTTCCTGATTTTAGAGGAATCACTTTGAATTTCTCTCCATTTAGTTTGATGTTGGCTGTTGGTTTGCTGTATATTGCTTTATCATGTTTAGGTATATTCCTGTTATTCCTGAACTCTCCAAGACCTTTATTATGAAGGGATGTTGGATCTTGTCAAAGGCTTTTTCTGCATCTGGTGAGATGATCATGTGGTTTTTCTTTTTCAGTTTGTTTATATGGTGTATTACATTGATAGATTTTCATATGTTGAACCATCCCTGCATTCCTGGGTTGAAGCCAACTTGATCATGGTGGATGATTTCTCTGATGTGTTTTTGGGATTCAATTTGCCAATATTTTGTTGAATATTTTTGCATCGATGTTCATGAGGGATATTGGTCTGTAATTCTCTTTTTTCGTTGTGGCTTTGTGTGGCTTGAGTACCAAGGTAATTGTAGCCTCATAAAAAAAGCTTGGCAATGTCCTTTCTACTGCTATTGTGTGGAACAATTTGAGGGGTACTGGTAATAGCTCTTCTTTGAATTTCTGGTAGAATTCTTCACTTAAACCATCTGGCCCTAGGCTTTTTTTTGGTTGGTAGACTTTTGATGACTGCTTCTATTTCATTGGGGGTTATAGGTCTGTTTAAATTGCTTATCTGTTCTTGATTTAATTTTGGTAAGTGATATCTATTCAGAAAATTATCTGTTTCCTTTAGATTTTCAAATTTTGTGGAGTACGGGTTTTCAAAGTATGACCTGATGATTCTCTGGATTTCCTCAGTGTCCATTGTCATGTCTTCCTTTTCATTTCTGATTTTGTTAATTAGCTCTCTCTCTTTGCCTTTTGGTTAGTTTGGATAGAGGTTTGTCTATCTTGTTGACTTTCTAGAAGAACCAACTCTTTGTTTCATTGAATATTTGTAATGTTTTCCTAGTTTCTACTTTATTGATTTCAGCCCTCACTTTGATTATTTCCTGGCATCTACTCCTCTGGGGCAAGTTTGCTTCCATTTGTTCTAGAGCTTTCAGTTGCACTGTTAATTATCTAGTGTGACTATTCTCCAGTTTCTTCATGTGGGCACTTAGTGCTATAAACTTTCCTCTTAGCACTGCTTTCAGAGTGTCCCATAAGTTTGGTTATGTTGTGTCTTTATTCTCATTAAATTCTAGGAAGTCTTTAATTTCTTTTTTTTTATTTCTTCCTTGACCCAGGAATGGTGCAATTGTGCATTATTCAATTTTCATGATTTTGTAAGGTTTCTGCAATGTGTTGTTGTTGAATTCTAGCTTTAAAGCATGGTGGTCTGATAAGATACAGGGGGTTATTCCAATTTTCTTGTATCTGTGGAGGTTTGCTATGTTGCCGAGTATGTGGTCAATTTTAGAGAAGGTTTCCTGTGCTGCTGAGAAAAAGGTATATTTTTTTGTGTTTGGATGGAGTGTTCTATAGATGTCTGCTAATCCCAATTGGGTCATAACTTCTGTTAGTTCTTTTGTTTCTTTGTTAAGTTTCTGTCTGGTGGTCCTATCTAATGGTGAGAGCAGGGTGTTAATGTCTCCTACTATAAGTGTGTGAGGTTTTATGTGTGATTTGAGCTTTAGTAATGTTTCTTTTACCAATGTGGGTGCCTTCATATTTGGGGCATAGATGTTCAGGATTGAGACTTCATCTTAATGGACTTTTCCTGTGATGAGTATGAAATGCCCTTCTTCATCTCTTTTGATTGATTTTAGTTTGAAGTCCAATTTGTTAGATATTAGGATTGCTACAACACCTTGTTTCTTAGGTCCATTTGATTGGAAAATCTTTTCCTAACCCTTTACTCTGAGGTACCCTCTGTCTTTGAAGTTGAGATGTTTTTATTGTATGCAGCAGAAAGATGGATTCTGTCTTCGTATCCATTCTGTTAGCCTGTATCTTTTTATAGGCAAGTTAAGACCATTGACATTGAGTGATATTAATGACCATTGATTGTTGATTCTTGTTTGTTTGGGATGTTATTTGGTGGTGGTGTTATTATGTGTGGATTCCCCCCCCCTTTTTTTTATTTTGGTGTTTGGTAAGTGGGATTATCTATTGCCTATGTTTTTTTTTTTTTTTTTAGTTATCTTTGTTGGGTTGGAGTTTTCCTTCTAGTAATTTCTGTAGGGCTGGATTTGTGGATATGTATTGCTTAAATCTGGTTTTGTCATGGGATATCTTGTTTTCTCCATCTATAGTGATTGAAAGCTTTGCTGGATACAGTAGTCTGGGCTGGCATCCATGTTCCCTTAGCGTTTGTATAATTTCTATCCAGGATCTTCTGGCTTTCAAAGTTTCCATTGCGAAGTTGGGTGTAATTCGGATAGGTCTGCCTTTATATGTTACTAGGCCTTTTTTTCTGCTCTTAATATTTTTTCTTTATTCTGTAAGTTTGGTGTTTTGATTATTATGTGGCGAGGGGACTTCTTTTTGTGGTCCAATCTATTTGGTGTTCTGTAAGCTTCTTGTACTTTCACAGGCATATCCTCCTTTAGGTTGGGGAACTTTTCTTCTATGATTTTGTTGAATATGTTTTCTGTACCTTTGAGCTGAATTTCTTCAACTTCTTCCATACCTATTATTCTTAGGTTTGGTCTTTTCACAGTGTCCCATATTTTTTGGATATTTTGTGTTAGGGACTTGTTGGACTTGAGATTTTCTTTAGTCTGTATATCCTCTAGTGAGTCTTCAACACCTGAGATTCTCTCTTCTATCTCTTGGATTATATTGGTTATGCTTACATCAGTGGTTCCTGATTGTTTACCCAGCTTTTC